GGAAAGAGATGTTAAATTAGAGCTTCTCTTAACACAACATTTAAATCAAGTCCTTACAATTTGCACTGGTTTTGACAGTGCCACGTTCATGCAGGACTTGTAAAAGTGACCTTACTTGGAAGTAGAGCCTCTGCAAGTGTGATCCAGTTTAGATGAGGCTTTACTGAATTAGAGTACAGCCCAAATCTGATACAACTGGTGCTTTTATATGAAGAGGGGAGTTTGGACTCAGAAACACAGAACGTGGATGGAAATTGCCGATAAACAGAGGGAAGCACCGCGTGAAGAGGAAGGCAGAAACTGGAGTGATGTGTAGAAGGGCCACCATATGCCAAGAGTTGCTGGCAGCCATGAGGAGCTAAGAAAGAAACAAGAAATGGGTTCTTTCTGAGAGCCTCCAGAAGAAGTTAGCCCTGCTGATGTATTAGTGTTGAACTTGTACCTTCCATGACTGTGAGGGAGTAGACTTGTGCTGTCACCTGAGTGGTGGTAATTTATTATTGCAGCCCCAGGAAAGTAACAAGGCACGCTTGACTTCTCTCCCTGCTGCCACGTCCTTAAGGAATGTCTAATTATCAATAGATAAGACCACTTCACCATCAAACTCAGCTAGAAACTGTGTGTGAGAGCAAATATATTCGCTTCTAGACCTGCCCATGGAGCAAGAGATGATGACATTCGTTCTCTCAGACCTTTACAGTAGTCTCCCTCTTATACACAGCTTCACTTTTGACAAAGGGTCAAACTGTGGTTGGAAAATATTAAATGAAAACTTCCGGAAATATGCAATTCTTTAGTTTCAAATACTGTGTCAGGTAGTGTGCTGAAACCTCCCACACTGACCCACAGGAGCCATCCATTTGTCCAGTGTAGTCATGCTGTCTTTGCTACCAGCCCATTAGTCACTTAGTGGCCATCTTTGTTATCAGACTGAATGCTTACAGTGCTTTTAGGTTTAGTATTATCTGCAGTTTCGGGCATCCACTGGGGGGCATGGCGTGTATTTCCCTGAGGATAAAGAGGGACAATTGCCCTTGGTATAGACACCATAAGAAGAGAATGTACAGTATGGATCTTGCAGTATACCCAGGCCAACCACCTTATTCTTGGAAAGCCTCAGTCCACCTATCTGTACCTTGAAGGAAAACTTGTTCATTGGCTTAGACTCATCCCCTCACATTTCCCAGAAGGCACACTCACAGGGAGCAATGCAAGACATGAAGCGGTGTTCTAGGAATATGGTAAGAAAGCCATCTTAGTCACTAATCCTGATCCAACTGACCTCCAAGCATGAGTGTGAATATATAAATCAAAACCACCAAGCAATATGGAGAGAAGGGACAACTCAAAACGGGAGAGGTGGCCCACTGGGCACTCAGAGCCAATGACCTCCAATAAACACTCAAAGATGAGGTCATTAGAATTAGAGTTGAAGACAGCAATGCAAAGTCATGTTCAGCTTTATACGCACACACACACGCACACACACACACATACATACATAATGTGTGTGTGAACAGATAAATGTATATGGATGAGTAAAAACTACTGGGTTGTCAGAAAAGTCATCACATATTTTTGCATAGGAAAACAGAAAAAATACGTCATGACTTTTCCAAGAACCCTATATATATGCATATTTATGATGTGTCATATGCATGTACATACACGCACACCCACGCACACACTTCCTAGCTCTGTCCGCTGTGAGGATCTGGAAGTTGTGACATCCCAGTAGTGCTGAGCAACCTCTGTACCCAGATAAATACCCTTCTTTCAATAAAAGAAACATATGGCATATGGTGAAATGAGCCCAGTGGTAAAGGGAGACCCACCCCACACGGTGGATCACAGTTCAAATCCCAGTCCTGGTGGCTTACAAAACATGCGGGGCACTTGTGCATGTGTGCCCCAAATCCTGATAGGATAGACAAATGGAAGTGAGGGGATTATGGTATGGCCACAATGTGCGCATTCCCCAGAGAGAGAGAGAGACAGAGAGAGGGAAACTGAGAAATCATCCCCTGTGGGGATGTCCACTCCTCAATCCCTTCTTCTCTACTTTCCTCCTAGATCTTGAGCACCCACGCACATGCACCCAGCATGAGTTTTAAGCCACTGGGTCCAGGACTCACACCACGGTTGGTCATATGGGAGTCCAGTGATATCACTTCTGTGCCATCTGTGGGCCCCACTCTTTCTAAATTTTATACTTAAATTGAAAATTTTTAAGTTTCTATAAAAATTTCTTTATGTATCATGTCTAAGGAAGAATTTCTTAACAGGATACAAAACTGGGATTTTTAAAAAAGTTATAAACTTGGTATCATTAAAATAGAACCTCTGTTCATCAAAATAGACCAGAAGGAAAAGAAAATAAAAGCTGGACCAGCCAGTGGCATGGAGGATAAGGCGGATGAGTCTCATATGGCCAACTGAGCAACCTGAGTCTGTATCCAGTGGCTTGAAAAACATACTGAGCACATGTGCTTGCATGCTCAAAATCCCGACAGGAGGGGGAGACGGAGAAGGGATTGCTTTGGGCCATGCCCTGTGTGTGTGCAGGGGGTGATTTCTCACTTCCCCTCTATCTCTCTCTGCCCAGCAGGTACATGCATCCTGTGGCAAAATTTTTAAAAAGGAAAAAAGAAAATGAAAAGACAAACCTCAGAGAAGATAACAACACATATAAAATGAATGAAAGATTTATATCCC